TTATTCAGACACTTAGTATTTATGAATATTTAGTTTATGAATATTTAGTTTACTCTGTGAGCTGTAATGCGTTACCATCATTATTTATTTTATTGCTCAAACTGTCTTAATCTTTGAGTTCTCCTTTGCTTTCTGCCACCTGAAGATGTTCCAGACTCATCTTGCTTTTCCTGGCACCTGTCCCAGAATCAACCATTTCTTCAAGGAGACTGGATTCCTTTTATTGGGGAACAGTCTTTAGAAATTAAAACCTGGGCACCAAGTGTCCTCATTGCTATTGGGGTGTGCTATGGTTTGAATGTCCCTCCCCTGCCCCCCCCCCCCCAAAAAAAATACTCATGTTGATATTTTAAACTCCCAAGGTCATGGTATTAGGAGGAGAGATCTTTGGAGGTGATTAGGTCATAAGGGTGGAGGCCCTCCTGATGGGATTAGTGCCCTTAGAAAAGAGGTCCAAGAGTGTCCCTCACCCCTTGTACCACGTGAGGACACAGTGAGAAGGCTGTGTCCAGGAAATGGGCTTTTGCCAGACAGCAAATCTGCCAGCACCATGATCTTGGACTTCCCAGCACTGACAGTTGTAAGAAATAAATTTCTGTTGTTTATATGCCACCCAGTCTATGGTCTTTTGTTATAGCAGCCTGAACAAACTAAGACAGAGTGTCGTTGATTCTTGTTCCTCTTAGCAGGCAGAGCTAGGAGAGATGTTTATGTATACTCTTGCACGCGAGCACACATACACACACACACACACACACACACACACACACAGCCAAGAGTCAGATTCCAATCCAGCACCATAGAATGGATTCTCACTTTCCTCTTTTACTTATTTCAACCACTTTCTCCACTAGCTCTAAACCTGGCTCCAAAATACATTTACTGAATTGCTCAACCCTAGTGAATGCACAGAGCAGTTTCAGAACCCATATACTCCTTGAAAAACAGATTGACTAACTGAAATACAGTATTGTGTACAGTTCCTTTAGTCTTTAGCCTCGTAGCCTTTTGGGTGTATGTCTAGTCAAAGTAACTGTTTTTCCAAAGTTGCATAAATTAGTTCTTTGCTTCCTGGTTGCACTCAGTGTGGGGACATTATTCACTTGCGGTACCATCAGGTTCATCTGTTACTATTTGCATAACCTTTGGGGCTCCCCCTACATCCTGGTTGCTTCTGTTAGCTTCTTAGTTCTGGGTATGTGAAATGTCTGCGTATGTGACTCTTAGTTCTAAGAGTCAGAGCTACACAAGAGGCAGACTCAGAGAAATGTCCCTCACCCTTCCCTCCTCCCATCCCCCGCTTCCTCTCCTCACATGACCAATCCTGCTAGGCTCTGGTTTATCCTTACTGTATTTCTTCTGCTCTAATGAATAGATATGTGTTTATTTTCTTTATGTCCCTTTTAAAAACACACGTATCTTGGAAACATTTGCAAAAGTTCTAATAAGGTAAATGCCAAGCATGAGATTTCTGTTGTGTGCTGTGTTTGTTTCTGAGGCTGTGCATATTGCTTCCACGTTAAAGAATGAATGAATTCGTGGCTTGAGACTAACTCCCTGTGTGATTGGGGGACAGTCTCTCCATCAGCTGTCCCACCTTTCTGGGCAAGGAAGGGTCTTCCGGTTCTGAGGTCAGAGCATCCATGTCTCAGACTGCGAAGTGCATGCCTGGCCTTTCCCCTCCTCGCCTCTCATGATTCCTCCCGCTAGTGCTACGACCTCTCCCTTCATCTCCATAAACAATAACACAAAACCACCACACCAATAATAACCTCTACAACTATTCCTTCAGCACCGGCCACATGCCCCAGCTCATTTAGTCCTTACAAAACACACTCATGGTTTGGACTTTCATTATTACTATCATATGGACAAGGAATTCCAAGTCTGGGAGGTTCAGCAACTTTCCCAAGGCTGTGGGATCCTTCCTTCCTTCCTTCCTTCCTTCCTTCCTTCCTTCCTTCCTTCCTTCCTTCCTTCCTTTCTTCTTTCTTTCTTGATAAATTATTACATTTATTTATATTTCGCCTTTTAAAAGCCAGAATATGACAAGTTTCACTTTCTGGAAAATCTCCTTATTAGAAACACATGAAATGCACTTCATACAAGGAAAGCAGTTTCTTGGTACCATCAGTGAGATGGACACGTTCTCTTCTGTCCCCTCAAATGAAGGTTTCACTCAATTTCCTTTAAACGTAGACCGAGGTGATCTCAACTGAGGGAGGTCTGAGTGAACTCTTCCTGAAAACGACAGCGAGGAAGCTGAGCTTAACATCGGGGCCTCCCAGCCATGGTGCAACAGTAAAAACTGCTCTGCCCCAGGGCCCCGTCTTTGCCCGTTGTTACTAGGCATCGGAAGTTCTCCCTGGCAGGCAGGGGGAAGCCCACAGCAGGGCACAGGCCCCAGGCCCCAGGCCCCAGGCCCCGTCACTTGCAAAGAAAGGTCTGACGTGAAAAAGCAAACCTAGAGCCAGGTGCCCTTTGGTCGGCCAGAGGCTCTGCTCCTGTGGACCTGACTGCCAGCCCTTGGCCTTGAGTTTATTAACACCGTGAAACATGTTGAACTTCAAGCTTCTTGAGCTGCCACCAAAGCAGGTTTCCAGGAGACAGTTTCCAGGAACAACGGCTCGCCGGAGAGGAGCCTCTGAACAGAGTCTTGTTGGAAGAGACGGCAGGCTGCGGGACAAGGTTTCCTCCCGCCTCCCGCTGGCAGGAAAGCAATGCTCAGTGTCATCTCAGTGAACCGAAGAGAAAGGAACCGGCCTCCACTTGGGTCCCAAACCTCTTTCTTCTTCCTCATTTGAGGACTCCTGGGTGTGGCTCAAGGACAAGAATGCAAGCAGGCTCCCCAACAGAGAAGTAAACATGACTCAGTCATTTGAAAATACCTTATTGGTTTGAAAATCATAAGCAGAGCTATGGTTTTCCTGTCTCTCTTAGCTGACCCTCCTCCCCACGTATGGAGAGATGGAGTTTAACCTAAGTTTCTAACCTAGAAGCACTCATTTCCACTAAAAACATGTGGCTCCACCTTATCCTAAAAAGGCATCTGCAGGCATTGAAGGCTGAATCAGTTCATTCTAAGGGTGAGCAGGGGCGGCAGCAAAGTATCACGGATCAAAACCTGCAGCATCAGACCATGCTGAACCCAGGACATTCACCCCAGCGGGACTTCTCAAAGGTTTCCTGAGAGGCAGTGCCTTCGGCGGACCGGATCTGTCTCCTGCTTCAACAGTGTTTGGACGAAACAGACCCAGGGACGCCCCTCCCGCCAGCCTCCGGCCACTCTCTGCATCTTATCCAGTCACCCCCTTCACCACCACCTCCGGGACCAGCCAACACACCGGGTTTTTTGTTTTTCTATCTTCACTTCCTCATTGCTGAACAACCATGAGCTCCCGAATCCGTCACAATTATTGCACCGAGGTGAAGGCTGTGGTCAACCGCCTGGCCAGCCCGCCTCCGCGGGCCTCACACACCTACCTCTCTCGGGGCTGCTGTTTCCACCGTGAGGATGTGGTCTTGGGGCCACCTCTGCGAGCTGGCGGAGAAGCTGAGGGCGCTGGGAGGCTCTTAAAGATGCAAAACCAGCGGGTGGCCCAGTCTCTTCCAGGACGGGCTGAGGCCTCCCCAGAGGAGTGGGCAAACCTCAGCCATGGCCGCCCTGGCCTGGGAGAGCAGCCGGACCCAGGCCCTCTGGGAGCTGCAGACCCTCAGCTCTGTGACTTCCCGGGAACCACTTCCTGTGAGGAGGGGACGCTCATCAGGAAGATGGGCCCCACCTGCCACCTCCGCAGGCTGGGCAGCCCCCAGGCTGGGCGGGGTGAGTCTCTCTTCCAAGGCTCCCCCCCTCCAGCCCGACCAGGAGCCTCTGGAGCCCGAGGCCTGTGAGGGGCCCTTCTGCATCCCCTGGTGTCTGGCTGTCACCTGAGCCTCTCCCCGAAACCACTAGCCATTCTGTAACCACCCTGAAGCCTCTCCCATACATGAGACCAAGTGACACAATAAAGCTTTTTGCAGAAAAATCAATACATACATACATACATACATACAAGGTTTCCTGGGAGGTAACTCCAGCTCTGGCCACTGTTGCCAAGGACCAATGAACAGGAGCTTGCTCAGCCCAGGAGGAGCTCCATCACCGATCAGACGCACACACACCCCAGGGACGAGGAGAGGAGACACTTGTCTCATCTGTGCTATTCACGTCCCACAGAAGGTCCTGTCTGGCGTAGAGGACCTGAGCGAGGAGTGCTGGGTGAGAGGAACAAGAACTGGTGGTGGAGTAGCTGGGTTTTCTTCAGAAAGAAGCAGCAGAAACCGCAGGAAGTAGCTGAGGAGCAAAGACAAGATGGGACAGACAGGGTTAACCATGGGTTGGGGGTGGGGATGGGGGCAAAGGAAAGGAGAGGAGGGCTCTGGATGGGAACCTGTGTTCCTGTGAGCAGTGGCCCTGTCCCAGCACCAAACTCCCTTCCAGATCTGCTGCATGTCTAGGGCTTCACACATGACCCACAACGGGAGCCTGAACCCGAGAGGACAGCAGAAGCCCTGCTCGCCCACTGATGATGGAGCGTTGCAAGGCCTGATGCATCAACATCGCAATCCACTAAAGTGTCCTAAGACTGTGGTCGGCAAACTGCGGCTCTCGAGCCACATGCCCCTTGAGTGTGGCTCTTGCACAAAATACCAGAGCCTGGGCAAGTCTATTTTGAAGGAGTGGCGTTAGAAGAAGTTTGAGTTTAAAAATTTTGGCTCTCCAAAGAAATTTCAATCGTTGTCCTGTTGACATTTGGCTCTGTGGACTAATGAGTTTGCTGACCGCTGTCCTGCTTGCCGCAGCTGGATGTGCTGGATGAATCTAGTGCCGAGGTAGCAGGGTCTCCCCCAGGGCAGGAGACACACGCCCAGCAAACACGGATCTGGTGTTCGTGCTATGGGACCACTCACCATGTCCCCAAGTCCTTCTTTTTTATTTTTTTAAAATATATTTTATTGAAGGAGCAGCCCAGTCACAGTGATGAAGCTGGGGGCCGAATCTACTTGGCCACTGTGGCTGCTACCGTCCAGAGGCAAGTAGATCACCCAAATGCGAAGGGGTCAGGTCTTTTGGACAAATAGGCTACCAGCCTTTTCTAGGAGCTGAGACTTTGGTGCTGATAGAACAAAATGACAAAACCAGACCAAACCAAAAGGAACATGAAGAAGAAGAAAAAGCATGAGTGAACAAAATACCACTAATAATGAAAGCAGCAGCATAAACAAACCAAAACAAAGCCCTTGTGTGTCTATATCACATTCTTACCTGACACTTTCAGGGAAGTTAAATTAAAAGGACTGGCCCTAAGGCTCTTGACCACTGCAGAAAGCACATTCACAGCTTTCAAGGACCAGGAAATAATCAGATCAATCAAGGTCATTTGTGAGACACAGGGTACCAATGTCTGCACTGAACTGCTGGAGGGCAGAGGAAGTCACTATGTGGATGCATGCTCACTGACCCAGAAGGGGGATCACAATGTGTCATAGAAAAGAGCAAGTTTCATAAGCAGCATGATTAATGCTTTGTAATTACTGCCTTTTGTGTGTTTACTCTGTAGCTTATTCCATTTTAACTTGTCATACCTCTAATGTGGGTATTATTCCTGGCTGGAGACACTTGAGGCATGAGCATGTGGCCTTGGTTACACAGCTAATAGGGGGAGAGGGACTGGAACCCAGGCAGTGATGTCAGAGCCCTCTTGGGGCCAGTACTGAATCAGCTCGATGAATTACTGAGGACTTGCCTCCCTGAACAAGGTTACATATTTCAGCCACAGACTCCAGGATTCTATCTGGTAGATCCTGAATCCCCTCATGATTCAGAGACACCTCCCCTCCCCACCACCCTGCATGGCTCCAGGCCCTCTGTAGGGAGTTGCAGAGTGATGCTAACCCAGCAAGAGCCACACCACACTGGCCAAAGCCACAGTACTTGAGCATAACAAGAGATAATGAAGGCCACTTCATAATACTAAAGGGAGCAATTCAAAAGGATATAACTCTAAGGCCTGGAGCAGCAGCAGCCAGGCTTGGAGCAGCCAGGCCTGAAGCAGCAGCAGCCAAACCTGGAGCAGCCAGGCCTGAAGCAGCCAGGCCCGAAGCAGCAGCAGCCAGGCCCAGAGAAGCCAGGCCTGGAGCACCCAAGCCCAGAGCAGCAGTATCCAGGCTCAGAGCAGCCAGGCCCAGAGCATCCAGGCCCAGAGCAGCCAGGCCCGGAGTGTTGTGGGGTCGAACCCTGGCTTCAAAATGAAAGGAAAGAAGGAGCAATGCAGCCAATTCGGGTACCAGAGTGTCAGGTCCGTCATCACAATGGACTCAGAGAAACTCATGTGTCTCTTCACCCAAAAGGACTGAGAGTTGCCCAGACGACAGCAAAGTGGGAGAAGAAAACTGTAGGCTACACAAGGGACTGAAGTGCCAACATGGAGTCATCTGAAGAAATTAAAGACTGAAATGGCAGCTACTTCTTTAATCATGTTCCTGCTCATGCTAGCATCTGTTAGCTTCCAGTCTTCTGCAAAGTCATGTCCAGCAAATCCAAGGACTCTGAGTAAATCTACACCAGCTATAAAAGAGACTCATTTAGTAGCTAATATATATATATATTATTGATTTTTTACACAGAGGAAGAGAGAGGGACAGAGAGTTACAAACATTGATGAGAGAGAATCATCGATCAGCTGCCTCTTGCACACCCCCTACTGGTACATGTACTTGACCGGAATCAAACCCCAGGATCTTTCAATCCGCAGGCCACTTTCTATCCACTGAGCCAAACCGGTTTCGGCCCCAAGTCCTTCTTGATGCAAGTTCTTCTCGGGACAGGAAGGCCAAAGAAAGGTAAAACGGTGTGGGACATTCCCTGGCTGAAGGGACACCTCCTTGGTGGTGGCCTTCACACCCCCCACGACGTAATCCTGGTATTTGGAATAGGCAGCCACGTGGGCCGGGGTCTTAGAAAGAAACTGTGAGAGGGGCCGGTGCCCGAGGGCTGCGGCGCCCCCTCTGGCCTCAGCTGCATTTCCTCTGGCTTAAGAGACGAGTGCAAAGGACAGACAGGCTTCCAGGGGCAGACAGACAGCCAGCGTGCAGAGCGGAGGACGCGCCGGCAGAGCGCCTGCACCGGCTCCTCTGCACATGAGCACCCAGGACGCAGCACACAGGCCCTGCCCGCTGCGCTCCGCCCTCCCGCCCGCTGCTGCGCTGCCATCTTGCCAGCGGCTGCCGCGTTCTTGATGGTGGAACAAGACTTAAACCTGCGCCCCTCTGGCATGGCTCAGTGGCTGAGGGGCAACATATGAACCAGAAGGTCACAGTTAGATTCCTGGTCAGGTCATATGCTGGGCTGCTTGCTCAACGCCCAGTAGGGGGCGTGCAGGAGGCAGCCTATTAGTGATTCTCATCACTGATGTTTCTCTCCCCCTTTCTCTCTGAAATCAATAATAAAAATATATTTTGCCCAAAAGACTTGAACACGTCTGTCTGACCTTTGAGTACACTTTGGCAAAACTTCACGAATGCCGCTCCCCTGGAGTCCGTGCAGGTACAGCCCCCTGCAGGTACGCAGTGCAGGAGCCCGGATGCTGCTTCTGTCCACTCCCTGAGCCCCGGATGAGTGCTATGTTCTGCTCAAAATAAGAGAAAGGGAGAATTTCAAGTAATGGTGTGCCTCCAAATTCTTGCTATTCCAGCATATTTCACAAGGTTAATAAAAGTTATTGGCAAAAATTTTTTTATTTAAAAAATGGAGAGAGATGTTCCTATTTTGCAGGAAATTGCAGGTTACGTAAAATGGCACAGAGTCCTTTGCTGCAGGACTTGTCAGAGCCTTTAATGTGTTAAAGACTGTAAATCCAAGAAGGAGAAATGGGCTGTGGCATTCTCCAAACTTTTTCACTATGGAATTTTTCTCCCACCCCACCTCCCCGGAAAGGTTTATTAATTTTTTATTTTTTAAATTGATTTTAGAGAGAGGAAGGAAAAGAGAGAGAGAAAGAAAGAGAGAGAGAGAGGGAAATACTGATGTTGAGAAACATTGATTGGCTGCCTCCTGTACGCGCCCCAACGATGAATTGAACCCTCAACCTGGGTATGTGCCCTGACCGGGAATTGACCAGCATTCGGTGTACAGCTCGATGCTCCAACATACCAAGCCACACCAGCCAGGGCTTCTTTCCCCTTTTCTGAAATGAATGTTTCAGGAGACACAATACGGAACTCTGGCCCAAGACTGAGTTTTCCCCAAAAAAGTCAGCTTTCCCCAAGGAAACATGATTATTAGAAAACATGATTTTCCCCTTTTGTCCCTCCCAGCTTGAATCACTTTTCCATCCCTGAGACTGTTGAGACCCTGGGGTGATTATATTTAACCCACCAGGCCATGGCCAGGGAATGAATTGTGGTATTTATTGAAGTCCTAGCAAATGTGGTTTTGGAGCTGGTCCAGTCCGTGTGGCTGAGATGCCTCTGTTTCCCCTGTAGCTCCCAGCCTGAATGGGACTATCACTTTGAACATCAATATATCTGGCCAATCTAGTCACTGTTAGTGATGGCCCTGGAACCTGGACTCTGCCTTGTGTCCCCACCTGCTGGCAGGGGAACCACTATAAAGTGTGTGACTCCCATCGCCTACAACCTCCTACCATTTTCACTCAGGCTTTTTGGTATGAAACCAGAGTGGGTCCTCATTTTGACTCTGCCTCTCCGCAGCTATGGGAATCTGGGTGTGTTACCAGACCCCCTTTGTGGCCAATGATGCCCACACTACATGGAAGTTACGGGGCATACACCAGAGAAAGGATGTGATGAGCTTGGCCCAATGCTAGGCACGTGGTAGGTCTTCGTTAGTCCTCTTTGGTTGAGTTGATTGCCACTTACTGGCTCTGTGTCCTTGTGCAATGTGCTTCTTGACCTTGAACTTCACTCTCCTAATCCTAAATTAAGAGCAATCGTGCATATTTCGAAAAGTCGCTGGGAAATGGGAAAAGATAATGCATGGAAATGCTCCTGGGAAGCTATGAAGCCCTATGTAGTTGCCATGGTGACAGTAATGAGCTCGTGAAATGTAAAGCTGCTGCACCAAGCACCAGGAGCCCATTCTAAATCCCCGAGGAATTCTGTGTACTTGGCAGCAGTTCCCGCAGATCGACAACCATTTGTCCCACAGATATTTCGGGCTCTGCCAAATCTATGCCAGATTCCAAGCTTGGGCTGGGGAGGGTATGAGATTTTGGCCTGCTTGTGAGCTAACTTGGATGCTGGCAGGAACACAAGACTCTTGGGTCAGAGACAAAGGACTTTATTACTCATGGCAAATGGCACAGACGTCAGCATCTTTGCACCAGTTCCTTTAGTCCCTCAGTCCCACGGGAGCGGGTTACCCAATTTAAGAAAATAAACACACAGGGTACCCAGTTAAACTTGAATTTCAGACAAACAAGGAATACAGTTCTAGTATGTTTCGAACGCTGCATGGGTCATACCTACATTTAGAAAGTTTTCATTGTGTAGCTGGTGTCCTGTGTTTTAACAGGCAACTCTGCACAGGGGAGACACAGAAGGGCCCAGCTAGGCGGTTCACATGCAGAGGGAGTGGCTGCAATACAGGAGGTGAGCCCCGAGCTGAGAGAACCCCAGACTTCTATAGTGGGTGGTCAGCATGCCTGCCCTTTGATTCAGAGAGAGAGCCTTCTTCATTTTGCAAGGATGTTTACTGTCAAAACTGGCTTCTCATAGCTCTCCCCCTCCACGCTGACTGCTCTGCCCTCCTCTGGCCTGCTGACCACTGGGCCCTGGCAGGCAGCTCCTGGGGAGAACTCAGGCCCTGGAAACCTTCCACGGCATCATGCTTCTCGGGCAGAGTCTTCATTCGCAACATCAAGGCCCTGGGATGTCTCACTGCTTGTAGAGGCCCTTCCTCGCCCTCTGTCATAACCACTCTGTGTTGCACCATCGCCTGTTCTGCTTTCCGCCCCTCGGTGCATCGTTATGAGCCAGTCCGGCCCTCTTACCCAATCTCAGACTTCCACCAGGCGACCTGGGGGAGAGCAGGACAGAGAGGCGGTTGCTTTGGAGAGAGGAAGAGGACAGGGACACCGGGTTCTGCCTCACCTTGCTGAGCCCACGATGTAGAGGTCCGACGGGCCAGCTGGACACCTCCCGAGCCCCCTTAGCTATAGGGAACTCCTAGCCCCTCCTCAGTGCCCCTCCCAACACCCACCCACCCTCTCTG